ATGTCCGTGGTACTCTTCATCCGCTGGTCCAAACATCAGTTGCAATTGTTATCTGTTTGTTCTATCGAAGGCATCTTTGGAGTTGGTCGCACTTAGTCTGAGTCCTCGTCTTCGGCCTTGCCAACAAGGGTGGACCTACCAGAAGTTTAGAACTCCTGACGGCATCGCTCTCAGAGTCAATGGACCACGCAACCCACCACCACCAGGACAAAGCGCGATTATCAAAGAGACACACATGGAAACATAAACGCAAAAGCACACATTTATATATATATATTTATTTGATGTCGAAATAAACAGTACCACATTATTATTATTATTATTATCATTTTTATTTTCTTTGATTTCTGGCGTTTACTCATTTCTTTCCGGGTCCCGCCCAGACACCTAAGGTTAGAAATGGCGTCATGACACTTTCCACTGACAAAAAAAAAAAAAAAAAAAGAATTAAATTACATAAAAGCCCTTCGTAACGTGTGGGCTGTACTTGTCAGAACAATTTTTTGTATCACCTTGAGGCATGGACTTCCAGGAATCCCTTCAATTAGTCTACTGCAATTTTTCCAACCAGTCCTAGGGCTCCAACTACAACAGGGATTGTTGATGTTCCCATATGCCACATTTTCGAGATTTCTATTTCAAGGTCCTTGTATTTTGACAGCTTTTTGAATATCTTCAAAGATACATTGCAGTCAGCAGGAACTGCCATGTCAATAAGGAGGCACCGTTTTTGTTGTGGTCTTTAATAACAATATCTGGCCGATTGGCCTTGATTGTTCTGTCAGTGTGTATTCTGTAGTCCCATAGAATTGTAACAGGTCCTATCTCCGTAACCGGGTCTGGGTGGTGTTCATACCAGTTTCTTTCAGTTTCCTTCCCGTAGAAGTTACAGATTTTCCAGTGCAGATATTGGCCCACTCTGTCATGTCGGGTTTTATATTCAGTGGATGCCAACACCGTGCAACCTGATACAAGATGATCAATCTTTTCTGGATACTTATCACAGAATCTGCATTTTGGGCTGACACAATATTTTAATATATGTGCCTGATAATTCCTAATTAGCAAGCATTGGTCCTGCGCAGCAAGGATAAAACCTTCAGTTTCCGCTTTCAACCCTGCACTATGTAGCCACTGATGGGTACGGGTTTTGTCTACGTCAGCTTGTTTGGTACGAGCAGAGTATTGGCCATGAAGCGGTTTATCTTGCCATCGCTTCTGTATCTGGTCGGTTGCATTCGTCTTTGCTGTCTTTTTTAAGTATTTTGCAGTGTCAGCCGGTGTATTGTGCTGTAGTTGCATCTCTACGCCCATTTGAAACTCCATTTTGAATTTGTTGGCTTCTTTCATTACGGAGTAAAGACGCTTACTATTTTCATGTTCCTTGACGCATACCATCATCCAGTCTTCTGTAGTTTCCAAATATCTTTGGAGGCCAATTGTTGTAGTTTTGTAGGACAGTTCTAGTTGAACTAATCCTCTGCCTCCTTCGGATTTGGGCACATACAGACGATCACCATCAGCTTTGGGATGATGCATGCGATAGCAAGTGAGAAGCTTTCTCGTTTTGGCGTCCATTCGCTTAATTTCAGCTATGGTCCAGTTAAGGATATTAAAGCTGTATTGCACCACAGGGACAGCCAATGAGTTTATGGCTGATATCCTGTTTTTTTTTTAGTTTAGCTCAGTATTTACTACCAGACGTACACGCCTGTAGTACTCTTTTCTTATTTTTTCCTTCATTTGGGGGTGCTGTATGCCATCTCCTTCGCTAAATCCTCTGCCTCCTTCGGATCTGGGCACATACAGACGATCAACATCAGCTTTGGGATGATGCATGCGATAGCAAGTGAGAAGCTTTCTCGTTTTGGCGTCCATTCGCTTAATTTCAGCTATGGTCCAGTTAAGGATATTAAAGCTGTATTGCACCACAGGGACAGCCAATGTGTTTATGGCTATATCCTGTTTTTTTTTAGTTTAGCTCAGTATTTACTACCAGACGTACACGCCTGTAGTACTCTTTTCTTATTTTTTCCTTCATTTGGGGGTGCTGTATGCCATCTCCTTCGCTAATTCCTAGGTACTTATAAGCTTCATCATGCTCCAGTTCCCTAATCTTTGTGACAAAATCTAAATCTATTAAAGGTGTTTCTGTAATTCTACCTTTCTTGAAAGTTACTTTTGCACATTTATCTAATCCGAAAACTAAGTAAGAAATAATAAAAGTATCACCACATAACTATTTGAAAGATAAATAATACTGGAAGAAATTAACCTTTCTGATTTGAACCGATAGTAATTTGCTTGGGTTTGGTTTATTTTGTTTTACGGTATATCAACCTCAATGGGTAATTTAATTCCGACAACATTTTTAAAATAGATTCGGATGAATAGAATATGTATTCTTTGGTTTAGATTGGATTGGTTTATTTTGCTTTACGGTATATCAACCTCAATGGGTAATTTAATTCCGACAACATTTTTAAAATAGATTCGGATGAATAGAATATGTATTCTTTGGTTTAGATTGGTTTGGTTTATTTTGTTTTACGGCATATCAACCTCAATGGGTTATTTAATGCCGACAACATATTTTAGGATAGATTCGTGTGAATAGAATATGTATTCTTTGGTTTAGATTGGTTTGGTTTCTTTTGTTTTACGGCATATCAACCTCAATGGGTTATTTAATGCTGTCAAAAAATTTTATTGCTGGTAATATTTTGTTTTGTCAAAAATTTGTTTTTGCTAATATATTTCCTTCAAAATTGTATTGCTTGTAATAATTTCTTTCCAAAAAGTATTGCTGGTAATAGTTAACAATTTGCCCATAGCTGGGACCCTAACAGGTGCTACCACCCCAGATTAGGGAGGACCTGGGAACACCAGCAATTAAGAGGTGGTTCCACACTCCTCAAAAACTCTTGATCAGAGGCCTTGCTGCTGGGCGTAGTTTAATGTCTTACCCAGGACGCGGATGTAGTTTACCGTCTTACCCGGGACGCGAACCGATAGTAAAAAAAATAAATTGTAAGGAAAGCATTTTGAGTCGTAGCGTTGTTTTGTTTTGTCTGCTTCTTTTTTTTAACTATATCGATAAATACCTCAATTGTAAAATCAAATTTAATGACATTTAATGTTATTTTATGGTTTTCGGAATTTCTTCCAGTTTATATTAGCTAAATTATTACAAGGACAGACTATAGGTTTTGTTTGTTTCTTTTTAACAAAAAAAAATTATATCTCGAAACAGCAAAACAAACATA